TGTGTGTGTGTGTTGGTGTGTGTGTGTGTGTTTGTGTGTGTGTGTTTGTGTACGTGTGTGTGTGTATGTATATGTTGCATATTTTTATCTTAATTATTTTTCTTATATGAAGAGTAATAAACAAATAAAACATCAAAATACTATTGATTGTTTAAAACAGTGTGAAATTTCTTCTTTTGCTGTGAGTAAAAATCACCTATTCACTAATTGCTACAATTATTTTTTGAAATTGCTTCCTTTCTTTCTTTCTTTCTTTCTTTTCCTGCTAATTTTTAATTTAAAATGAAATTAATTTGTTTATTGATATTTTTCAGCAGAAATTAAATTCATTTTCTATTTTACTTATTGATAAGCCATAAATAATAAAGTTATCATTTGACTATTAGGTAGTTTCATTAGATACGTGAAAACTTACGTATGCATATTTGTATGTATACGTATTTCACGTATCATTTATATGTATATATGTACTATACATTTATGTTGTAATGGATAATTTTATTTGCAGAAAGAAAAGGATTCCAATGTTTTTAATTTAATTGCAAGAAAAGATTCTTTGAGCTAATCAATTTCACAATTCAAATTAAATTTCCTCATTTTTTATTGAAGCAATTATCAATGTTTTAGATTTGAGTACAAAAAGAATTGGCATATTTCCCTTAAGAAAAACCTGAAAATTATTATTATTAGAGATTTAATAGGCAATCTTTCTTTTTCCGCAATAAATTTGATTAATCTTTCGAATTGAGAAATTATATTTTAGGTTGGAATGATTTAATGTCAAACGGTATAATATAAGGTTCACAATTATTTCACTATCTTTTTCTCATTTAACTTTTTATATTCGAAATTAGCATAAATGATTGTGTTGATATTGAAAAAAATGAAATAAATATATTTGTAGCAACATCATCGAATCTCTCGAGCAAAACGTAACAAACGGGCGATGCGTTCTGGTACCAATACAGTTGCAAATTTACGATCTAAACGATATCAAATGTTGAAAACTGAAGGAAATACACAACAATTTCGTATACATCCTACAATTCGAGCAAGACAAAATCAGGTTCGTTCTAATTTTATTAATTTGCATTAAATCAATTTAATTCAAATAGTACTCATGATTGATTACATTTTGAACTAAATTACGAATGCTTATCAGAAATATTGAATGTTAATTTAATTGAAAAGAGAGAGGGAGAAAGAGAAGAGGAAGAGAAAGAGAATTAAATGAACAAAGATAATTGTAAAAATTATCAAAAGTGCAACACTAATCTCTTACGTTTATATATAATTCTATGCATTTATGAGAGTACTTGACCTTGGTTATAGAAACATTTATATAAAAGAAATTTTACAAATTTTATTCCTATTTCAAATCTTTTGATTATTAAAGAAATTTATTTATAAATGCTTAAAATTCAATTATTTCATAATCAATTAATTATAAATTATCGATTAATTAGAAATGCTTGAAATATTATTTCATACTATTTCCACTTGAGTTAATCATCATCCCCATATAATATAAATTAATAATTACTATTTCTTCCAATTCAACAACAATTTCCTACAAGAAATGAATGAACGAATGAATGAATTACTTATCAAAATATTTCAAGTGATGAAAACTGGTTATGCTTGTATATAATGCTACATTAGTTGCACTACTCCTTCATCTTCCCCCTTTTCTGTTCATGAAAATTTTAATCATAATTTATGTCATTTGTACTATATTTAAAACTTGCTACTACATTAATCATTTTAAAAAAAAATCAATCAATAATTAGGAAAGAATTTACAATAATAAAATTCATAATTCATAATGGAATTTATTCAAATTTTTGAAATATAATTTTTGTATGTAAAATAGAAGAAAGTCTATTCTTAAACATAGAAATAAAGAAACTGAGAAAAATTAATGAAAGCTTAGAAAATATTGATGGATTTAATGATTGTAATTATCTTATTATTTTCATCATCTTTCCTATCATTTTGCTTCCCTAATTTTACTATTATCACTAACATAAATGATGACAAATATCTAATAGTCTAATAAATATATTTGTTAGCGATAAACTTAACCTTCCTTCTTCAATATTGATTTTACAATAGGTTACTTCCAAGGTCCTCCTCTCTCGTCCGTTTAATTGTTACCTGTGACGACAATTTCAATGGGTTTAATTTTGGGTTCACTTCAATCATCTTCGTTGTTTCGTAATCCTTAGTTGTATTTCTTCCTCGATCATTAAACCTTCCTTCACTTCACTTCACATCTTCATCCTATCTATCCCATCCATATTCGTAACCTTTTTCCCTCATTTTATTTCAGCTGTCAATTATTCTCTCTTCATTTCACATCTGCTTAAAACAACGTCCTCTCCTCATTTTTCTCTTCCTCTCCCTCCTTCTTTCCACTATCATTGTCCTCATTATTTCCTGTCGCATACATATATATATATGTCATCAAAAGGCTTATCTCATCTTAACTAAAACTATCTTTCATTTTATGTAAGGTTTTATTTATTGCCTATCTACTTATACCTCTCCATTTCAATCATTTCTCACCTCACTTATCACTTTTCTTTTTTTAAATAAATGAATGGGAAGTATCTTATCGATTGCAATTAACCAGGTATCCATCCATTCTGTTACTTAGTTACGGATACTACGACAGCAGCAAATATCCTTTCCAACATTCCTAACAAATCATGTGTCTGCTAACTAACTAAATAAATCATCATTTCCATATTTTACTGCTTTTCAACTTGTAGGAAATTTTAAAATGCTGTCTGTTTTAATTCATATTTGAAAAAAAGAGAAAGCTTTGAATTAGCGACATTTTTTTCTTCCAGGCTTAATATATTTATAAATTCACGATGAATTACGATATTCCGGAATTTCAAAATTTCATTTCCTTCTCAACATTTCTTTGCTGCTCTTCGAAATTTTCATAAATTTCAATTGCAGTATATTACATATATTTACCGACACAATTTTGAATTCAACCATATTACCGACAAGTGAAGAAAAGAGGCAAACCAGCAGTATTTCAACTGTATTTCGTGCATCCATTTTCGGCCATTTCATTGAAAATGCTTTGAAAAAAAGAGCTCGTCAACTAGTATTTCCTTTTTTTCTCCCCTCCTCTCTCTCCTTCTCTCTCAATCTTTCTCTTCATATTTTTGTTTCTTCATCACTTCTGAAATTGTGATCTGAAATTTGACAAATGGCTTGTACTTTACAATCACTACGAATTGGGCGTACATTTGATTCTGATTATCCGCGGAATCAAGGGGCATTGTCGAATGATACGAGTCTATCAATGATAGCTGTAATGGGACAGGTGGACGAATTGAAAGTCACACCTGAAGTAACATGTCCGAAGAAAAGTGTTATGTTAGCATATAAACTTTACAAATATCGTGATAAATTGATGAGTTTGATCGATGGTTCCAGAGGACAATACAGGGTATGTATCATTCTTTCTTTCATTATCATATCGGTCAGTCACTGTTTGTTTACAAGTTTCGTTATTGCTTGTTTGTTTGTTTGTTTTTTCAAAATGAGCTGTATAAGTTTTTTTGATGAATTGTATAAATTTTTTTTAACGTAGACCGTACAAATTTTTTTAAAAACGAATTATATAAATTTCGAATCTATTTATGCAAAAAAAGTTAAGCCTAATAAGTGTAAAAATTCCAGTATGATTTTATTATTTTAAGTCCTCTTGTATTTCTTTAATGACATTCTTATTTCAATCTTTTTCGTGGCTAAAGGTTAATTGACCACTGACCAATAGATTGAATTTTTTTATTGAAGAATTTCCCTTTCTCATTATTTCATTCATTCGAAGTGAGTTACGATTTTTAACCCAACATAATAAGAGTTAAACGAATGAATCCCTCATCTAACTCGATTAGTTTCGGTTTTTACTGCAACAGTTTGAAACATCTCCCACATTTCAAAACACGATATGTTTATCATCTGTTTAATACGAAGCAAATATTTTGGAAACAATTTATTACATTTTATTTAATTTTAATTTTATTCAACTTCTTAATTATTGTATTTCTTTCATCTTTAAATTAAATACCTAGGAAATTTATGTAATTTAGCAGTGTGAATTATCATCCTTCCACGTGTTATAGCTTTTTTGGAAAGAATCGATACTCAGTCATTTATCCATTTCCGATATATTCCATTCCCATTTTTAGCATAATTTTTTTACTTCCTACTAGAATGTATCATATCAGATTATTATTTTATTTTCTTTTTTTTCCGATGTAATATCCCATTTCGTTTTTTAGCAAACAGAAATTTTTTGTTAGCTTTAAGACATTTATATTATTTGCGTTCATGCACGCATCTTATAAAGTATAATTAAAGAATATAATTTTGGATAAATATGCAATGTTTATTTTGAATTTAAAATTTAAAATTATTTCCAAATAATTAATGAATATTTTGAAATGAAAAAACTTCTAATAAATTTATGGCACCTTTTGTTTTGGTACCATTATATACAATCTATATCAAATTATGCAGGAATAATTTTGTTGATGGCTGCTTTTCTTATTTAATCTATAGTTTATTTAATTTATTTCACTATCTATCTAATTATTTTATTTATTATCCGTTAAATTATGAGTAACTGATAACTTATTTGTTAGATATGAATATATCGATGATTTCTTAATTCTTCGTAAACCTGTATCATTCACTAGTAGAGGTATTTCATTTAGATCAGCTGTTGTGCTATCACAAATAATAATCAAAATGATTGATGTAAATACGGATTAGTCCGGATTTTATTCATTCGAAAAAAATTTTTTTTTTTGTAAATATAATTTAAATGAATATAAATGAGGTTAGAAAATGGAATAAATCAAAAATATGACCATCTGCGATAGCAAAATGATCTCTTTTATTGCTGGCTCATACAATGATGATGATGACCTTGAAGATTTTTGATGTTTGATTACGGTAACATCTGTTTCGATTTAACCCCTTGCTGTTTTATATGCTCATATAACAGTAATATCTAATGATATATGTGAAAGTTAAAGTAATAAATCATGAATGCCATGCGCCTAAATCTGTTGTTTTCCTGTTTACTTGACCTACTTGCGACCTTTCTTATTTAATTCATAGATTGATAATGATCACTTCAACTATATATGTATATTTTATCTATTGAAATAATTGTTTGTTTTTTTGTTTAAAAAAAACTAATTAGGCATTTTTAATTTAAGTATTTTCAATAAAATGACAATAATAATTATCATAGTTATAATTATAATAATTATAGTGACGGCAATGATAATGATAGCAATGATGATAATGATAATAATAATAATGGTAATAATAATAATAATAAGTTCCAGAATATTCCATATGCTCTAATAAAATATAATGGATAAGTTAATATAATTATTCCACATCACTGATAAATATTCCTTTATAAAATAAATAGTTGATATAATTAATTAATGAATAATACATATATTATTTCTTCAACAATTGATAATTGATAATACATATATTGATTGATAATTGATAATACAATAATTGATAATTGATAATACATATATTATTTCTTCAACAATTGATAATAATTTAATTTTATTCATTGAAATAATTCAACAGTAGAATTGACTCTCACTTATATACATTATAACTGTCACCATTATTTGATCGATAAAATTCAGATAATATTTTGATTTTCTCCTATTTCGTTTTTCTTCCTCTCTTTCTTGTCCGTTTCAAATATTTATATTATAATTTGTCGTAACTTTCTTAAGCGTTAACTAAATTCATTTATGCTTCATTCAATATATATGCTTTATTTATTTTTTAGATTTGCAACTTTCTGCAACTTTCTCAAGAGGAAATATGAAATATAGATGAAGCTTTTAAGTTTTAGGCTATTCTTTTTTTTTATTTTAAGTCTTTCAATCTTTTGGAATTTTTCGTCGAATTTTCTTTTAGCATTGCTACAAACGAAATTTTAATGAGTGATTCTTTTGTTTTAGATGAAATTTAAAGTTAATTAATTAACTTTCTTCTCATGTAATAAACAAGTGCGTCGTGTGTTTGCAATCATTTCTTTTCATACTACATCAAATTATTTTCAATTCTTTTGCATTTTTTCGAATTATTTTCTATTCTTTTTGCATAGATGAATTTTATGATTGCATTCTATCTTAATAATGAATTTTCTTATTAAATTCCATTTCTTTTTTCTAAATTCTAACAAGAAATTTGCTATTTTTTTAAAATATAATATTAACTTTGGTAATATAATACAGTTAGATAGTTCCAATATTACTGTTACATTTCATGCGTAGGATAATTTCAGGATCATTTCATATAAAGTTAAAAGGTGATAAAATTTGTAAGTTGGAAAAACTGTAATTCTATTAAAAATACTATTTGTCACGCAGTCGCACTGTGTTTTGCAAATTATTCCAGGCTAGATCTAGGAAAGATTAAAGCCTAATTGCTGTTGTAATTTAGATGGCTGTTATTAACAGAATGATATGATTATATATAATCAGCAATATGCTATGTTATCAATTAAAATTTAGACGTTTGATATCATTTAAATTTAGACAAAAATTTAAGTGAAGAAAAAAGAAGGAATTCATATAAAAGCTGTCAAATATAAGCTTTCTTCTTTTTCAATTACCTTTTTGAATGCATTTTACACTAAACGTTCAAAGAAAAAGAAAGAACAATTTAAAATTCAAACATATTCAAAAGGAAACAATCTGAAATTGAACTTTTTAAATTTAAACCAATGGTTTGCTTTTATCAGCACTTTTCAATATTGTTTGTTTTCTGCAATATATCAATGATAATGATTGTGTAACACTCAGTACCCTGACAATTTCAATCACTAATTTTCATGCTTTTTCTTCTAATTTTCACTCTCAACCTAATAGTTGTAATATAATCATTGAAATATTTTAAAATCTTTCCCTTTTGTTTTTCGGTTATTCGCTTTTAATTATAGCATTATAATAATTTATGATAAATGTGGATAAAGTAATTTTTTCAAAGTTTAATCTTCATCTGAACTTTAACCTCTTTATTCTTCATCATTTGATAATACAATGTAATAAATGAAATGAATGATATTGGGTCAGATCATTTAATCAGCAGTCGGATCATCGCTGATCCATTTTTATAATCATTTTTATTTTTCAAATGCTAATAATATTTCCTAGAATTTGTTATACATATCGTTTTTCTCTTACTGATTAAAATCATTAACTTTAACAATAAACAGGATCAATGCTTTTTGATCGAATGTCAAATTTTTCTTTCCAAACAAATCTTCAAACTTTTACCAATTTTTTTGAGGTCATAGGTCAGAGAGAGTTATTTGTTAGTTATAGATTACAAATGGAATACAGTAACCAGTAACTGGTTACATGTCAAATACATCTCTAAGTTACAGGTCAAAAGCAATGAATAAGTTATAAGTTTTAGAAATTAAAACATTGACAGCTTAAGGAAGCTTTAACTTTGTATAAGTAACATTGTGAGATAATAGTGAAATCCCTGTTTGTTGTATGAAACATTACAGCAGCTTTATTTGAAACAAGCAAACAAGCAAACAAGAAAAAAAGCATTAGAAAAGATTAAGTGAAAGAGTTTGAAAAATTTTTTCAACATTTCCCTTGTAAACATCATAAAATCTGTTTGTTCGAACAATATATGTACAGTTGTGTTCTTTGAAACCTTTTAACAACAATTAATAATATCAATAATAGTATTTATGAAAAAAAATAATAGAAATTTAATTAGTTGGATTAATCGATTGATAGTAATATTCTCTTCTCTTTCTATCTTCATGCATTATTTTATTTCACTTTTATTTAAATGATTAAAAAATTTTGCTTAATTAATTATAAAAATTCATCTTTGTGAATTGTGACATTTCTCTCTCTCTCTTTCTCTCTCTCTCTCTCCCTCTTACTCTCTTTCTATCATTAATTCTTTCTTCCAGTTTTATATCTTGAAAAACTTCTTGAAGCATAGTAAAACTAGTTTCATCTTTATTACTATTATTGTTGTTATTATTATTGTTGTTATTGTTATTTACTATTATTACTATTATTATTTATTGATAAGTAGTAGCAGTAGCAGTAGTAGTGGTAGTAGTAGTAGTAGTAGTAGTAGTAGCTAGTAGTAAATAGTAGTCATAGTCGTAATAGTTTAATGGTCTCATAGTAGTCGTAGTAGTGGTTAGCAACATTTCTTCATTGTTGTTTATGTGAAGAATAATTTAAAGCTTTAGCAAGATTTCATTTATTATTTATTTAAAAGAATAATTGTAAGTAAAGCTTTCTGTTTCGATTTTTGGCTTTTTGAAATACGAGAAAAAGAGAAGGAAAAGTTTTTATTTGGAGTTTTAATGAGGTTGCAAAAGTTTGCGTATGTTTGATTGACAGCATTGAATATGTTACCAATGAAACCTTTCTTCCTTCCTTCCTTCCTTCCTTTCTTTCTTACTATTTCTCTTTCCCTTCATCTTCTTCCCTTTCTTATCTTTTTCTTCCTTCTCTTTTGTGATAAAATTTTCAACTATCATCATTCACATTAACTAGATATTTTAATTGTTACCTAATTAATGAGAATTTTAAGAAAAAAAAATGAAAATTTATAAATTTTTTTTTCTTAATTATATTATCTATAATTAATTGTAAATATTAATTAAGAAATTAGAAATAATA